AAAAACACTTTCCTCTTCTTTTTTTCTTGTGTTTTTTATGCGTGTTTTGTGTGTATCTCTGTGTCTATACAGCTGTACACACTGATAAAGAATTGCTGGGAGGAAGACCCAGAACGGAGGCCAGATTTTAAAAGAATCGAGTTAACGCTTGGAAATATTTTCAGGTAGATTCCCATCGTGTGTTTCTTCAGTGTGGCTTCGATTCATTTTTATAACGTGACACATTCTGAACTAACTGCCAAACGCCTCACATCAAAGACCCAAGTGAGGAGGTTTTCCTCAAAAATACGTATTTCTGTCATATTCTCTTAAATGAAGAGCAGTAAGCAGCAGTAACAGCTGATATGGTGATATAAAACATTTTTGATCTGATGCAGTAACCTCCATAACCAAGCCACAGAGACGTACATGGACAACCTGATCCGTCGTCTGCAGATGTACTCCAGGACTTTGGAGAAGCTCGTGGAGGAGAGAACGGCTTTGTACAAAGCTGAGAGGGACAGAGCGGATCGCCTCAACTTTATGCTTCTTCCTGGGTAGGTTTTTACACTCAGCTGACTCAGAGGCATCTGACACCAGGAACTTTCAAGTCTGCATTCTCCTCCTCCTTACAGTGTTTCTGTATATGTTGTGCTGATTATAGTGTTGCACACCACACATGTAAAAATAAGCAGCAGGCAGTGGTTTTGTTTAAAAAAACAAACCCCTCTAAATATCCACCTGTTTAGGGACATAGGTTATGCAGATTTAGACTATTTATGAATACTGATATTAATAATGTTATCAAATATAACACATGTATCATAACACATAAACATAATATAATTATAACAAATTTTCAATCATAATCAGTGATTGATAATTGGAGTATTTTGTAATACAATACCTGGCAAAATCTATAGAATCACCACACTTCATTCTTTTATTTGTTTTTGCAGAAGAAAAAAAAATTAAGAAGTATTAAAAACATGTAATACTTTGTTGCACAGCATCCAGCTTTTATAATGGTCAGAATTATATCAGGCCTGGGGTTTACTATTGAAAAATCATATTTTCCATCAAACTGCTTCCAACTTTTTGAGGTCAGAAATAAGTTGCTAGGTCAGTTTTGTAGGGAGGAGGCTTGTTGTTGTCCATTTTTTGTTTTTCATTCATTTTTATTTGGATAGCGATACAGACCTTTTCCTTTGATTGCCTTTCAGCAAGAAAAGATTTAGCATTTGTTGCTCTGTAACAAGATGGATTATCATCCTCAAAGTGACTTTGCCATCACAAATCTAATTATGAATTTGATTGTACACTTGTGCATTTACTGTTGAAGTAATGACCGCCGTCTCTTCTGGGCATTCTATCTGACTATGCAGCCTTATAACTGCATAGTCATGACCAGTGTTGGTCAAGTTACTTGAAAAAAGTAATCAGTAACTAATTGCTGATTACTTCCCCAAAAAGTAATCCAGTTACTTTACTGATTACTTATTTTCAAAAGTAATTAATTACTTAGTTACTTAGTTAATTTTAAAAAACACGATTTACAACCTGAAT